TCCAAATTTTAGGAATGAGATAGAAATCTAAATAAAAGAAGCATCTATAACCCCAACTAAGCAAGATCAAAGAAGATCCTCTCTATGACACATCATTAAAATGCTTAATATACAGAATGAAGATAGAACTTTCAAAGCCACAAGAGAAAAATGGCAGGGTCACATTTAGAGTTTAAGCGAACTAGGGTGTCCATTGATTTCTGAACCTAGATCCTAAAGGCTAGGAGGGCTTGAAATAATACATACCAAGCCTTGAAACATAACAAACAAATATCAACCAAGATTGTTATATTTGCCAAAGCTGTCCTTCACACAAGAAGATGAAATTAAACCTTCCAGAGTAAGTAGAAACAAAAGAATTCATAACTACTTAGCCAGCACCACATAATATACTCAATAAAATACTACATGTGGAAGAAATGAAAAATAAAGCCAGCATCCCACTAGAATAGTCACAAAAAGGAAAATCAATTATCCATTAAAATTTAGAAATAAATCAAAATAACAGGAAATAAAAATCATATTCTATAACACTAAAAGCTAATGATCTAAATCTCTCTAATCAATCAAAAGACATATATTTAGCTCCTGAGGCTGAAGCAAAAGGATCACAAGTTCAAAGCCAGCCACAGCAATTTAGCAAGGCCCTCAACAATTTAGTGAGAGCACATCTCAAAACAAAAAATAGAGGCTGGGGTTGTGGCTCAGTGGTAGAGCACTTATCTGGCATGTGTGAATCACTGAGTTCAAGTCTCAGCACCTCATATAAATAAATGAATAAAATAAAGGTTTATCAACAACTTAAATAAAGAAAGAAAGAAAAAATAAAAATCTGGGGATGTGGACCAGTGGTTGAGTGCCCCTGGCTTCAATCTCTGGTATGAAACAAAGAAAGAAACAAAAATATAATTGGCATATTAGCAGAGGGGATTAAAAAATAAGGCACAACCATATTTCATTTATAAGAAACTCATCTCATGGGCAAATATTCCACAAGCTAAAGCTGAAAGGATCAAAAAAAAGATATACCATGCAAATGAAGACAAAGTAAACAGAGGAAGTTTCTTGCATATCAGAAAAAAAAATAGAGTTTAAGACAAAATTAATCCAAATAGACAAAAAAAAATTCAATTCATACTGGTTAAGGGAATCATCCAACAAGAATATATCATGATGGTAAATATGTATGCCTCAATCGTCTGTGTACTGTCAACATAAAACAAAACTGCAATATAGAATTAAACAGACCAAAATACAATAATAATAGGTGATTTCAACACACCTCTCTCACCATTAAATAGGTCATCCAAACTAAAGATTTGTCAGAACTTAAAAAAAGTACTATAAATCAATTAATGAGGTTATGTTTTGATAAGCTCACATTTCCAATACAAGATTGAAAATGCATTAAGTACACCTCACCTACGGAACTCTACCAAAGGCGATAGTTTAGCAACACAATATACTATAGAATTTTGGTTGTTTACCCCCATGATCAAATGGACAACTGAGAAGTAGAGCTCACATTCTAAGAGTATCTAACTAAGAATTGGTAGTCCAGGAAAACAGCAAAATTTTAAATTTGAAATAGTTTCTAAGGATGTTTCAAGATGGTTGCATAGAGAAGGGCCCTTTTCTGACTGCTCCGTGACATGAAACCAAGAAAGAAGTTAGGCAGCTTCTCAGCAAGGTGGGTGAGCAAAAAACCGGGGGGGGGCTGTTTATTGAAATTTAATTCTGGACATTCAAAGAGGATGGGGACTTATGAGATTGGATATAATAAAATAATAAGGAAAACATCCCCAGCGCCACAGCCTCTACAGTAGCCGGAGACATTAGCAAGAACAGTCTTTCCACAAGCAAAGCCGAGAGATAAGAGAATTAAAGGAACCTACATTTTTAGGAGGCCTGAGGCATGTCTGGGTATGAACAATTTGGAAATCAAAAAATACTGCCCAACTAAACTGAAAGACACACTGCATAATATCCAAATGTGAGGAAAGAAGGTGCCATCACTTCAGGTGGCATTCGGAGGGCAAAGAAAAGAACAACTCTGCAGCTGAGATGCTCAGGCCAGTAGCTGAGGGAGACAATTCCTGGCAAACTGAAGTTTGACCCGAAATACAGGCCCAGTAAAAATACACTGCACGACACAGAGTGTAATTAAGTGACCAGGAGAAAAATCAAACGTGAAGAAAGGTTTACTCAGGAGACAAGTGGGCATGGAAACCCAACCAGCTCTTCCCTTCCCCTTCCCCCCTATAATCTGGCTGCTTATAGGACCAGCTGGGAGAGATGTCATGACCATGATTTCTAAAGGAGTGGGGAAGAGATTGAGGTTGGAGACTGAACTCAAGACTAGGAAAGGTGGGGTCTGCAGGTGACATAGTAGACTAAGAACTGGCTCCTCCACCACACAAGTGGAACCCAGGAAAGACCCCTGGGGTGCAGTCTTCCAGAGTGCACCAGCAATTGTTAAGCCTGATGATCAAATTTGGCATTCAGTGAATAAATAGCCTGGAGCCTACCTAAGCCTGAGCCCCCTCTACTAATTCCACTTATGGGATTCTCTCTTTCACTCCAGCAATCCATCTTGAGGATGGGGAAATGTGCCCCAGTTAACCCCACCTAACAACACTGAGAAGAAAAGCTAAGAATCTTTTGAACTCCACCACAAACAATTCTTTAACTTTTTGTTGAGATTTTCCTTTTTCTTTTCTATAATTGTGACCTAATGGTTCATGGACATTTATACATATTCATATTTGTATTTTTCTAACATTTTAAAAAGCAGTTATTTTTCATGGATTAAGTTTTTGATGAATAGGATGTTTGATTAATGTCTTTCAGTTTTGTTTTATATTCTTTTGTTTTCAATTTTTTATTTTTATATTTTTTTGAAAAAAATATTTTTCAGTTGGAGGTGAACACGATACCTTTATTTTATTTTTATGTGGTGCTGAGGATCAAACTCAGTGCCTCATGCATGCTAGGCAAGTGCTCTACCACTGAGCCCTATTTTTATTTCTTTAACCTAATTTTTTTTTCCCCAGGGCTGAGGACCGAATCTTATTTCTCTCACCTATTTTCCTTGATTCTCTCTCTTTTCTTCCACTGAAATTGTTTTCCTCTTCACTCTTACTTTAAACTTTTACTCCAATTTTCTCTCCTCCTCCATCATAATTATCACATCCTATATCACTTCTGCTCTCTCCCTGTCTACCATGTGAAATCATAAACCATTTTGGAAACTTACTGTTTTTATTATAGGCAATAACTGATCATATTGTTTGTGTTTATTGTGATAATTAACATTGTAGACGTCATAGGACAAACTATTTGGTTTAATGCTGGGTACTGTTTGCATTAATTGTTATTATGATTAATCTCCCCCTAAATGGTGAGGTACTGGAAACCTTCAGGGGCACTATAAATAAGTCCACAGGGTAGAAACTCAGACTCATACTGTTAGAAGGGTAGAAAAACAACATGGAAAAGCAAGGGAACAATCACCCCAAACAAACCAAGATACTCCAATGACAGAGTCCATCAACACCACAGTAGAAGAAGTGTCAGAGAAGTTTAGAATTGACATCGTTAAACTAATTTGCAAGGTTAAAAAAAAAGTTTCTGCTGAAGGCTTATCAATTCATACCATTTTGCAGTCTAAATAATATTAGGGCAATCTCATCCATCCCCATGTGGCCTAAAGGTTTTCATTTCATCTTCATTTATGAGGGATAACTGTGTCAAGGGTAGCTTTGCTTAGTCAATCATTATGTTTCAGGGCTTAGTATGTATTATGCCAAGTCATACTGGCTTTCATGGTCTAGATTGAGAAATCAGGTAACATTCTAACTGGACTATGAGGGTCTATAGTTATCTATATTATGATGTCATTTACATTTAAACAACAACATAAAATAAGCTGATTTTATCTATATACACATATATGTAAGTACACAAAGGATTAATCTTACTCAAAGAAAGGTCTGCTATAAATGTCCTACCACATAAAGAGTGTTTAGCTGGAGACCTTGGAGTGTCCATATAGAGGAAGATGCACAGGGGGGTGAGAGGCTTAGGCCATGTGGAAACTTCTAGACTATGAAGGATTTGGAGATCAGTCACAAGGGTGGTCAACCATACCTATATGCCCATGTCCAAAATGACCTTACCTGGTGGGTAATACTCAATGCATACTGTCATTCATTAATTTCTGGAAGAAGCTAGACCTCTGTGAATGATTCCACTGAAAGATCACTCAAGAAGTTATCTGGTGCTCTGCCTTATGTGCCTTTTCCTATTGCTGATTTTAATTTGATTTCTTTTATTATACCAAACAATAACCCTGGGTATCATAGCTTTCCTTAGTTCTGTGTGTCCTTCCTGTAAATTACTGAACCTGAAGGTAGCTTTGAGGACTCTAAATATTGCAAACTAAAATACATGCTTCTGTGAGTACAAAAAATGTCTGGAAGAATATACATGAAATGATAGAGGACTAAGAAGGAAGGAAACGTTTATGTTCCAGCACACATTCCTTTTTCTTTTTTTGAATTTTTTAAATATCTTTTGTAGTTGTAGATCGACACAATACCTTTATTTGTTTATTTTTATGTGGTTCCAGGGATCGAAGCCAGTACCTCACGCATGCTAGGCAAGTCCCTACCTGTGAGCCACAACCCTGGTCCCTTCAGTTTGCATTTTGATTAAGAACATAAATTACATTTGTAATTTCTTTAACTTAAAAAGACTATTAGTTAACAAAGCCCAATTCTTATTAATGATATCTGAGGAAACAACTCCAAAAGCTAAATTTTGTTGTTTACATTGTATTTACTAATAGTAATAAATATGTTTCTAAGATAATTATTTCTTAATAAAGAATTTTAATGTTTAAACTAGGAGCACTGACATGAGCATGTATTCAAAGCTACTTTAAAGGCCTGAGTTCAGGAATTCAAGGTCAATCTGAGCAAAAGCCATTTCAAAAAAAATTAATATTTAAAAGAAATGCAATTTAATTAGCATGGAAACACATTTTCTGGAAAATTTCATTCCCCAAAATCATACACAAGTGAGGAAGTAGGGAATGAAAATATTTACACTTAGAAATCATTTAACAGAAAGTACAGGGACAATAGCAGCCATGACATTCTGGGCAGTAGAAGGAAAGGGATCTAACAAAAGTATATAAAAAAATTTCTGTTCAAAATTCAAGACTGAAGATGATGATGATGATGATGATGATGATGATGATGATGATGATGATGATGTTGTTGTTGTTGTTGTTGTTGTTGTTGTTGACGATGATTTGTACCAGGGATTGAACCCAGAGGCACTCAACCACTAAGCCATATATCCAGCCCTTTTTATTTTTCATTCTGAGACAGTGTTCCACTAAGTTACCTAGAGCCTAAGTTGGGACAGCTGGCTTTGAATTTGTGATCCTCCTGTCTCACCCTCCCAAGCTGCATTACAGGTACGGATCACTGCACATAAACTCAAGCCTGATATTAAAGGATGTTAAGATGGTTCAGTATACTTTTAATGTTTATTCTAATTATATAGGCAGACATTATTGCTGAAATCAAATGATGCCGTCAATATTGTACCACAAACACACCTAATGAACAATCAGGAACAGTAATGTTAATTAGACTCCAACAGATCAATTTGAAGATATTAAGTAGGAAAATATGCTTTAAAATAAGTGGCAGGATAGGAGAGGAAAACAAAATAAAAGTCTTTTTATATACTGTTATACTTAAATTTATTTTTAGTGTATTACATTGCTATGTATTGGTAAATTTTAAAAATCAAAATATTAAGGAAAAAACTGATAAAATATTAGAAACAGTCCATGCAAGCCTACTGCAAAACCTTGAGACACTAAAACAAGGAGAAATAATGAAAGATGGTGGTCACTTTAATCCACTAAGACTTTGGCTAATAATTATGCAGCGATAACCAGAGAACCAGAGTTCACATATGAATACTGCTGTCCAAAAACTCTGGTCAGTTCTAAACAAATTCCATCCTAATACATGCTCCCACTATTCCAGGATTCTGTCCTAATAAGCTTACACTTGTGAATTTATGACCTGATCTCATTCTTAAGAATCTGGTATCTCCTACCTCTTATACTTTACTTCCATCTTAAACTACAATTCAGATTTTTATGCCACAACATACCCAAAGTCAGGCCTTCATAAACTCAGCTATCACTTATATTATCCTTCACTACCACCAGTCAGACCCCAAATCAGAGAGGACAAATTGGGAAAAGAAAGAAAACATGTACTGGAAAAGCAAGTGTTTTGTTTAACAGATCCCTTCTAAATAGCCTGATACTTTAGGTTTAGATGGAAAGAAAAATTATATAAAAAAGCGATTACTGTCAATACATTTTAGAGCTTACATATGCCTCTTAGTATATATTATATATAGTAATAGAAAACAGGGGATTCTCCATGCAGTACAGATGATTTTTCCGATATGACAAACCAAGGTATCTCTAAGCTTCTTATATACTCTGGAAAGGAAATGAAAGGTAAGACTTCAAAGAATATTCAATAAAATTTAACAGAAAAGCCATAGCTCAGTTAAGTGCTAACAAAGGTAATATAAGTATTTATTTTTCAAATTTAACAAAAAATAAACCAAATATCCAACCCTCATAAAAGGTATTTGTTTTTTTAGAAAAAACACAGTTAACACCATAGTTAATTAAGCTTCCCAAAATCAAAAACAAGACAAACTTTCTCATAATTTACATGCAATATTGTATAGGAAGCTCTAGGAAGGTCCATTAGGCAAGAAAAATGAAATCAAAGAGCTGCGTAAAGTGGCACACACCTGTAATACCAGCAACTTGATAGGCTGAGGTAGGAAAAATCCAGATGGGGGCCAGTCTTACCAACTTAGTGAGACCCTGTTTAAAACTAAAAACATAAAAATGAATGGAGAGAAAAACCTCCCCCCAACAACAACAAAAAAAAAAAAGGTAAAATGTTCTGTGTGATATGTGGACGATAACACACAACAAAAGGGGAGAGGTGAAGAACTAAAGGTTAGACAAAGGGGAATGCAGGGAAGGGAGGGGAAAAAGGAATAGGGAAGACAGTGGAATGAATCAGACATAACGTTCCTATGTACATATATGAATACACCACAATGAAGCTCTACATAATACACAAGCACAAGACTGGAATCTTAATTAGAATAAGATATGCTCCATGCCTATATAAAAATTTCAAAATATACTCTACTGTCATGTATATCTAAAAAGAACAAAAAATTAAAAATTAAAAAAAATATAGGGATGGGGATGTAGCCCAGTGGAAAAGCAACCCTGGGTTAAATCAACAGCATGAAAAAGATAAAAAGAGGATCCAAGATGGCGGGCCAGAGGGAGGCAACATTGTGTGTCACTCCATGACCTGGGATTATACTGCTTCTCTATGAGCAACATTCCTGCTCATGCACAGAAATCAGTCACCAGGCAGTCCAGGGTTCAGCGTCAGAGGAGGTATCCCAACTATTTGCCCATATAGGACTACTGGGTACCGGAGCAGGACTATCGACTATCAGCAGCAGCACCCACACAGAACTTTCAGCCACCCACTCGAGCAGAAATCACACAAGCCGCTCCCACACAGGACACCCAGCAGCTTCCCACAAGCAGGAACTCCAGCCACCACTACTGTTTGGCCACCACTCCTGTTTGGAACCCCATCTGCCAATGTGGGGCTCCCCTGGTTGCCACCATCTTGGGACTCTGCAGCAGCAGAGATAGTCCCCTGTGTGCCGTAGCCCGCCTGCACCTGAGAACTTCACAAAGTCCCTGAACTCAGGCAACAGCCACACACTACATGCCACAGAGCTCGTCTCTGAACTCATCTTCTAATGCTATCGCTCGGCTCCCCCACCACCTCCACACATGACCCAACATCCAATAGCTGAAAGCAGGCACCTTCATCTTGGGTAACTTTCATCACCACCTTCAATGGGGGCAACTCCCAGTTTGGAAGCCCAGCTGGCCAGGTACCCAGTTTCTAACTGCCCCCTCTCCCCAGCAGCCACTACTCCAGCACAGTAACACCCTGGTTAGCTTCACCACTCTGAGGGCGGAGATATAAACTAACAACAGAGGACCCTACCTATTGGATGAGAAGGGAAGCAGGAAAGATACTGATCTCCAACCCAAACAATCCCTGTTTCTTCCTTCAAGATATTTTTTCCTCTCCATCTCTATTCTCCCACCCTCATATCCCCATCAGATATGAAACCAAGTACTTTGCATGAATTAGGATTTTGAGAACTGGGATGACTGAATACTATATTACAGTTATGTTGTATATTCTTTTTTCTTTTTTCCTCCACCAATTCTACTATTTTAACATTTTTTACACTTCTTAATATATATGTGTGTTTGTTTTATGTACTCTACTGTCTTCCCACTTGCTTCTATATCCAAAATTACTTCCTCTCCCTTCTCCTGCTACTAATCTTCCTCTTTAGAATTCTCCTTCACACTTCCTAAGATATAATAACTCTATATCCTCACCTCCTACCTCCTCAGCATATCATCCTACTACTCACCACAGGTTCTTTGTCCACCATCAGAAACTGTAAATACTTTTAGAAGCCTACTGAGTATATTGTAGATAATAATTGAATTCACCATTTCTGTACACTGTGACCAAAGTATAAATGTCTTAATAGCAAACATTTTGTTTTTAGGGTGTATATTGTTTATTTTGGGATCTCTTAACATTGTCCTTCACCTCATAAGAGAGATATTGGTTCCCTCCAGGGTCACTAAAAGCCTATAGGGTAAAAATGGTGATGTCTGGGATCCACAGTGCTAGAAGGGAAGACACACTAGCAATATGAAAAGACAAGGGAAGAAAGTGCCCCAAACAAATCAAGATACCACATTATTAGAATCCATGGCCAGCACAGAAGGAGAAATGACAGAGAAGGAGCTAAGGATGTACATAATGAAAATGTTCTGAGAATTAAAGGATGCTATAAGAGCAGGTACAGGAAGCAAAAGATCATTTTCACAAAGAGCTACATAAACAAATACAAGAAGCAAAAGATTAATAGGGAGATAGAGGTTCTTAAAAAAATAGAAATCCTTGAAATGAAAGAAACAATAAACTAAATTAAAAGTTCAACTGAAAGCAACATCAACAGATTAGACCACTTGGAAGACAGGACCTCAGACAATGAAGACAAAATATATATCTTGAAAACAATGTAAAAATGAGTCTCCTTGGTTGAGTCTCTCTAAGTTCAACACCCAGAACCAAAAGGGTGGGGGTGGGGGGTTAAAGAAAACCCACTACAAACTAAACAAGGTTTTGAATAAGAAATTTCTCCAAATAGAATAAACAAATAACCAACAAATATATGAAAAGATGCTGACCATAATTACTCATTCGGAAAATGTGTGTTAAAACCACAATGAGATACTTCTTTATACCCACAAGGAAAGATATAATAAAACAGACAATGACAAGTGTTAAAGAAATGTAGAAAGAAGAATTTTCATGCACTCCTGGTAAAAAAAAATGGTGCAAATGCTGTGGAAAATTGGCATTTCCTCAAACTATGAACCATTATGTTACCATATAACCCATAAATTCCATTCTTAGCTAAATATCCAGAGGGATGAAAAAATACATGCAGAAATAAAAACTTCTACATGAATGTTCATTGCAGCATTATTCACAGTACTCAAAAATAAAAACAAGGTAAAGGTCCATCAATAAAAATATGGTTAGTATGCATACAGTGTAATATTCTTTGGCAGGAAATGTTAACAGACTACTGATGCACATTTTAATATAGATAAACCTTTAAAATGTTAAGCTAAATCAATGAGGTAGATATTACATGATTCCATCTTATTGACATATCCAGAATATGCAAATCCATAGAAACAGAAAGCAGATTAGTGGTAATGAGTGCTAACAGGTACAGAATTTATTTTCAGGGTGATGAAGAATTTCTGCATTTCCAATGGAATAATTGTGATAGTCACAGAACACTATGAAAATGTTTTGTTATGTGTAATTCTCCACAATAAGAAAAACTCAAGCTTTTTACAAACATAAGATCTCCTAATGTCATAGAATTTCAAAGCTAATGAAATTAATTCCCTCTCGCTTTTTGTATTCCTTTCACAGAAAATACTAAGACTGAGTACTTAAAGTGCATTTTTTCAAAAGAATGTAGGAAGCAATTTCAAATGAGATCAAGGATTTATTTTTTGTTTCAAAATTTTTAAAAACATTTATTATGTTAACTTTTACCATTTTGCTTTTTTGTATAGTTTAAGGAGTTATTTGATCCTACATCCACTTGAGAAATTATAACAGAATATAGATCAAGGACTTTATATATTTTTAGGTTTTGGTGTTCCAGTAACATAAAAATAACAGCAGCTGAACTTTCTTTCAGCCCCGTGTCATTAAATTTCCAATATCTTCATGCTAGTGAAGAACCCAGTATTCTAAGTGCTCTACTATATAACATTTGGAAATTCTCAGAGTAGTCTGTATCTAAACCATCGCCCCCCCCCCAAAAAAAGGGCTGAAGGACCACCATAATTTGGCACAACCATCCACTGATTTCCTTCCTGTAACAGCTTTCCAATATGATACTGAGACTTTTGCCCTGGGGGGGGGGGGGAACCTGGGGTTTTTATCCTGGGTTTTACATGGCTTTTCTTCCTTGTGCACTTTCAAATGCTGCTTCACAAGAGAGCTCTGGCTGAAGCATTTCCCACATGCACTGCACTGGTAGGGCTTGTCCACACTATGGATTCTCTGGTGCTGAATAAGATGGGAAATCGGGCTGAAACATTGGCCACATTCATCACACTGGTAATATTTTTCTTCAGTATGAATTCTCTCATGCTGAATGAGATTCGAATCTCTCTTAAACCTTTCACCACTCTCACCAATTTGATAGGGCTTACCCAAGTATGGATCCATCAATGCTGAATAAGTTTGTCATATATTAACCAATGGTAATGTGACTCAAAAGTCAACTAAGTAAAATGTATTAAGTTAAAAAAAAGTCCAGCTATAATTATAAGTGAGAAAATAATGAATGATCAGGTTACCAAAAATAATGGTAAGATGTTTTAAGAAACTACTATAATAATAAAGTTACAAATACATATCTTTATTCATTGTCAAAATCCACTAAACCATATTACAAAGTATAAACTTTAATATATGCAAACAAAATAAAGGAATTAGCCTATGTAATTTTGGAAAATGATGTCTTAACTGGAAATTATAAAGGTACAGACAAAAGCAACCATAAACAATGTACTCTAGTGGGTAAATTTGTTTGTCACAAGAGCAGAGATTCTACAATACTGAGCCACATGCAGTGGAACACACCTGTAATCCCAGTGACTTGGGAGGCAGAAGCAGGAGGATCACAAATATGAGGCCAGGTTTGACAACGTAGCAAGACCTTGTCTCAAAATAAACAGTAAGAAGAGATGGGAATATGACTCAGTAGTAAAGCACCCTCAATCCCACTGCGACACACACAAATACTTTACACATGAGACTGAAAAAACATATAAGTGTATCGTAGGAAAAAGGAAATACAAGTTATAGCTTAACAAAAAACAAAAGAAAAAATAAGCAGTGTGGAACTGGGCTAGAGGTGAGGACACTATTTACTAAACCATGTTTTAATATACACACATACGTATGCATACACACACATGCATACATACACAGGTACATGGATTGTACACCATGCTCATATGATCTCTGTCTACTGAGAGGCCCTAGAAGAAAAAATGCTATGCTGGTAGGTCCTTTAGTCACAGCAGCGAAAAACCTAATAAAACAGAAATTGGTACAGAGAAGTGGGGTCATTAGTGTGACTAACCTGACCATAAGGATCAGAAGATTTTTGAGCTTTTTGGAACTGGTGGGAAGAATTCTGAGATACTTAATAGTGCAAGCTGGAAATGCTTTAGGTTGTTGTAAGCAGAGCTTAATGGATGATTCTGGTGGGAGCTCAAAGAACAGAATGCCAATAGGACTGGGATAGTGAAGATAGGGCTCAAGAGGGTTCAAAGAACAACTCCATTGGAATTTGGAGACAGGCCATTCCTGTTATGTTTTGGCTGAGAAGCTGTCAGCATTTTATCCTGAGACTGTTTGTGAGGCTGATTTTAAAAGTGATGAACTTCTTAATCTGGCAGAAGAATTATC